CTCTCGCGAGATTTCGATCGCACGTTACCACAAAAGTGAACCAAATAGAAAGGGGGTGTCCAATCTAGTCGCCACGAAGGGGACATTCAGGGCAAACATTAGTCGTTCAGCATGGTCATCCCAGTCGGACTGATCCATCTCAGCGACGTATGCTCGAACACTCCGAGTGACTGTTTGTACATATCTCTCCTGCTGTCCATTCGCTTGTGGGCGATATCCGAGTGTAGCACGTTGCCGGCTACCTAAAAGCTCTCGAAACCTTGTGAACTCTTCGCCATGAACCGCGGATCCGGATCATGCCGTACGCCCCGAATCTATGGAACACTTGCTCCTCATAAGCCTCAGCGACAGCTTGAGCGGTTGTAGACGACATAGGTTTACACATCACGTAACCCGACAACATGTCCTCAAATAGCAAGAGGAAAGTGTTCCCTCGGGCATGTGAGTCACGAAATCCATAGAGACTGTCTCAAATGGACATCTTGGTTCAATATCCTCTGGGGAGGGTCCAGCATTCGGGGGATCTCCTTTCCCGCTGGCACAATATACACACTCCTTCACGAAGCGTTGGACATCCGCGTACGTACCGGGCCAGTAGAATTCGGTACGTAGCCTCTCATGAGTCCTGGTGATTCCTTGGTGTCCACCTTGATATTCTTCATGCAACATATCTGCTCGAAGTAAACTCGGGACTACCAGTCTCAGATTATCCACGGCATCTTGTGGCCTTCCGCGAAGAGAGTGTGGGAGTCTATACAATATTCCTCGGTCATCCAGAACGAACCGGTCTGCGGCCTTACTGATCTTCTTGAGACGTGAGGGTGAGAATTTGTCAAGGTCATCATTGAGGAATGCCCTGAGCTCTGCTAGATACTCATCATCCTCTTGATGCACCCTGATCCGTCTCCAGCGTTCAGCCTGAAATTCTAGTGTCCCCATCGGCGGAATTTTGTTCCCGTCAGCTTCTTGAGCTCGCGATCTCGTGAGTACCGTCATGACTCGGGCGGCAGAAGAGAGAGGGGCACACTCGGGGCCAGGACCGTATCTCATTCCCGAATTGCCATCTTCTTTACCAGAATCTTGTATGGGATCTCCACTGCGAACTTGAGTGTCGGTGCCTTCCGACGGTTTCACCAACTGCTCGTGAATCTTAGACACTACTTCCACGTGTCGTTTCTCGAGATCATCCTGAACAGTCCAGGCCTCACCTTGGACAAGGGTCTTCGACACCAGGTAATCAGTGGCCTGGTTGAACTCACGCTTCATGTGTACTAATCGGACCGTCTGGAAACGTCTCTTCAGGGTTTCGTATTCAGCTAGTATCCTTTGTAGGTTAGGCTGATTACAATTAATCAGGCCTTGGACTTGTTGAATCACAATTCTCGAGTCACCCACGATATCCTGAATTCCCCTTCCCAAAGCCATTACAAGCCCCTTAAGCAGTCCAAAATACGCTGCGTCGTTGACGGTGACTCCATCGAGGATGTATTCTCGAGCATCCAAAACCTTCCATTCAGGTAGCTGCCACAGAATGCATCCACAACTGCCCTTCCTCGTGGAAGTTTTGGCCGCACCATCGAAACTCAGGACTACTCCGGAATACTATTCTGAGAGAATTTCGACCCTCACGACTGGAGGTAGTTTAACGCGCCCCTTGGCTGGAATGAGTACTGCGGCAACTTCGTCCAATTGCTCCCTGGGAGTAATGCCTGTACCCATAATGGCGGCTAAACCATCCTCATCTCGACAAACCTTCCGGATTTCCCGGTCATACTGTGAGAGAGCAAAGCCCCATGGCACCAGACGGCTTTCGGCAGTCTTGGAATTAATGACCCACTTCAACACTGAACGTCGGGTGTAGGTTACCAAAGGGCAACATTCGATCAGGTGCTTGAATACATGGAGAACCCGCATTACAGCCAGAACTGCCTTCTCAGCAATATGATACTTGAGCTCGGCGTCATTCAGGACGCGCCCCGTGAATCGGACAGATTGACCAAGTCCGTCATGTATTTGTCCGAGAACTGCACAGGCGGTCTACCGATTCGCATGATGGATAATCACGAAAAGTTATGTTCGATCCGGATGTCTGAGCAAAGGAATAGACACAATCTTCCTTTTCAGGGTCTCGAAAGTTTCCTTCGCTCGAGATAGGTCTCGTCCTGCACGCACTTGATCTTCTGTCAACTCATAGAGTGGCGCAGCTACCTCGGCATAGTCTTCGATGAATTTGTGGTAGTAATTCAGACTGCCTAGGAATGACTGGACTCCTTTCAGGAAAGACGGAAAGGGCAGCTCCTGAATGGCTTTTACGATTTTCGGGATAGCACGTATTCCTTCAGCACCGATTTCGTGAGAAAGGTACGGTATGACACGCTTCCCGAATTCGCTTTTCGGCAAACTAACTGAGATACCCCAGTAACGTAACCGATAGAGCAGCGCATCCAGGTCGCCGCATAGTTGATTCCACGGGGCACCTCCATGCACGATGTCGTCAATATACGAACTGCGCCCCAAGCCTCGCCCCATTTGGGATGGCGTGGGGATGTTGCTCCTGAAAACCGTCATTTGCTCCACTAACGGTGTCATGCGTTCCACATCCATTTTGTCACCTGGCACCTGAGAGTTCAACCTCAGGTAGTCTAACACGTCCTGATCCACAAGTGCTTCCTCTTCGGGTGATAGCCGCACGAATCCCTATAGACAATTATTAATCATCCGCTGGAAAATCAGCGAGACGTTTCCAACCCGAATGGCATACGTACCCATTGGAAATGCCCAAATGGGCAAGTGAATGCTGAGATCAGCTTAGCCCTTTCGGTCATTGGGACTGCCTAAAAGCCGCTCGCCATATTGAGACTCATGAACCACGTCATTCCCTCGAATCCAGTGATAAGATCATCGATGAGTGGCAATGAGTAATTCGACAACTGATTAAAGCTCTTCACGGCCCGATAGTCGATGTGCATCCGAATATCCACTCCATTTTTCTTGAGCACAATCGCAATTGGGAATGCCCATGGTGATTCAGAGTGTTCAATCAATGTAGCTTCCAAAAGCTTCTTCAATAACTTGTACACCTTGATTGGCAAGTGCGGACCAATCGATCAGGGTTGTCGTGGTACTGGCTTGGCGTTGCCCACATTTAAATCGCAGATGGCACCTCTCGCCGGCAGCGGAGCAGCATTTCCATCACCTAAGAAGATATTCCGATGCCTTTTCAGGTCGGCCTTCAGCTGCTTCTCCTGAGCTTCGGTACTCTCAACTGGTTCGCCAACGTCAGCGGCCTCAATGTCACATTCGGGAGAGAGATCGTCCAAGTCGGGTAGCATAACCAACTGATCTTTCAACTGAGACATAAGCTCGCTCCCTTCGCGATTATAAACCGCCGATTCCAAATCGAGTTCTTCAGCACTCACTCGCATGCACCTGGCATACGCGGCGTCAAGTCGTGCGAGGGGTGTTCCAGGCATGGCAGAAGAAGGTAACTCGAAATCCTCGTCATCCACTCTTGGAACATCCTGGAATGCGTCGTATTCAGATTCCTGAACCATTTCATCAAGGCCTTCACCACAGGATCCCGAATTGACAACATCTCCTCTGCCCTGGGCATTGACATCCAGGGTGCCAACTTCAGGCGAAACTTCGACAGCCATGAGTGACCCAATCACGCTCGGGGAGTATGCTTCAAGCGTAGCATTCTCAGCCAATCCCACACCATCGGTGTCCTTTTGCGGTTGCAATTCTTCCACGATCTTCGTAACCTGAGCTCGCTCAGGTTCCCTTGGCCTCACTAGTAACTTCGTTGGCCATTTGTACTTGGGAACCATAACTGCAGGCGGAGCCGCCTCCCGAAGCATCTGTTCATACACTTCCTGACGCATCCTCGCCTTCGCGAACAATGTGTTCTCCTGAATAATCTGCTGTCATTCCATATACCTTCGTAATCCTGGACGCACAAACGGTCCAACTATGAGAATGTTCCCATACTCTGCGATCCGAGCAACCGGCGTCCTTGGGTCGATCCAACACTCTCGGTCCGAAACGTTAACCTCTTTTATTGCTACAGCCCCCGATCGTGCGCCATAGACAATTTGGGTCACCCATAGGTCCCCTCGTCCTGCCCACACAACATTTGGAGCGGACGGCACTGTCCGTATCGGATAACCACATTTGCATGTTCTCCGGGTCGTAAATTCAACCCTCGAAGCGGGCAGACTGGGATATCTCGGTATTCACGCTTTCGTATAGTATAACCCTACATCGGCATAGATTCGTCATCTGGGAGACCTACCATTCCATTGCGAATAAGTAGGCGTACTCCAGCGCTAAACACAAAGTCCATCCCTAAATGTACACCCACTCCTTCTCCAATGATCGTTACCCAAACATCCATGCCATACAAACTCGCCATCCCAAAGTGATCTTGATATGTGCAGTCGAAGTGATTTACCTCGGGACGCCACCTAGTCCTGACACCTTGATCCGCTTCTGTGAGTTTAACTTGATTTTGAGCCTACGAGCAAGATCCAACCTGATCATACTCACAGTCGTTCCGGTGCCAAGTAGTATCTCCGTCCTGAAATTATTCACTGCTCCATGAATGTAGCACACGACGTCTTTCCTGTTCACGATAATTCTCGACCCACCAATCATACCGTTCCCCAGGGTTTAACTTGAATTCAGGTTTACCTTCAGGTTCCGGAGGCAATGGCGGTCTGAAACACTTTGTCGAATAACCAAAGGAACAGGTTCATCATGAATCATGGAGGTCATACATTGGGGTTTATCTTGGTTCCTGGTCCTCAATTCAGGGCCGATATACGCTAAAACACATAATTCTAAGGGTTCTCTCAGACCGACGCGTACCGAATCCCCATTCAGCAGGCTAAGTGGTTTAACTGCACTTCTTCAGAATCGTCCTTGTCATTCAGGATGTCCTCCCGAACATGGCTGGGCAGGTTAGCTAGGTCTCCTTGAAGGACGAGTTTCTTGATCTGATGGAAAGCTTTCCATTCTTCGCTGTGTCCATCGTGATATTCTTCACGCTTAGGGCACGACCTGGTCAAACAACTTCGAGTTGGGTGTCCACGTCTGTGGCATCGTCCACATATCAGGTCAGTCCAACCCTTCTCCGGGCGATGTCCAAACTTCTTGCATTTCTCGCAAACCGCCAATCGATCCGGGTTGTTATAAGACTGGTATCCCTGATACGCAGCTTGCTGCCCAGGCGGTGGCACCGGTGGTCTGGGATTAGCATTCGGACCACTTCCGGCATTCGGGTTCGCCGGCTTCCATCCCACGTTGTTCATGATGCGGTATACCTCGTGAATTTGATCTTCCCTGCTCAGGAACGTCCCATTCGTGTTGTCCGAAATCTGGGCATCCTGAATTGCAGTGGACAGTCCTTGGAGGGCCACATCGTTTTCATCCACGTCTCGATCAATCTCGGCTGGCTGCTCGGCGTCCAACTTCTCATCGTCCTGAGCGACGTACGCTCGGTTCGAATTCCGCTGTCTCATTCCACCTCGGGCGACATTGTCTGCTCTGAAGTCACGAGTGGGAGGCGACCAGGTGGAATAGTTCCCGCTCGCGTTCACTTCTTCTTGTTGCTTCAAAACGTACTCCAGGTCGGCACCTTGTAGAACCTCTGTTCATTTGAGCTACATATCCGTCAGGTTCTTGATGAACCGCTTGATATGTTGTTCACATCGCCGTTCAGACTTCCTGAATTTCACATCCGCTCGCTCGGCAGCTAGGTTCAGGTGGTACAAGAATGCCAGGGCTGCTTCAGCCTTATACTGTTTCATCGTATAGTACTTCTCCGAATCAGACACCCGGGACTTGCAGTATTCGCGCTTGAACTCTCGAGCAAGACGTCCACAGTCCGTGCGCACGCGTCTCCTCAGCTGATCCAACCTGTTTCGGGTGGCGGGTGACAGCTTCGTCTTGAACTCGTAAATCTTCATCTTATCAGTCCAACCAGCCTGGATCGTCATGTTCAAGAACTCCTCCCACCATCGGCGACGTGCCATAGGGACTTCTTCTCGTCGAAATCATCGAGCGCGTTGGTGAACGTCCTGAGAGTGAGCATATATGCTTCTTTAAGGTTGGTCACCATGGTTGCATACGACGGCATACCATCTGACGAGCTGTCAGAGTCACTTGAACTGTCGCCCTCCTCGCTAGACTCGACACTCGAGCTGGGTCCTGAGGGGTCTGCATCACTGCGTGAAGGCTTCTTGCGTGGTTCCTTCTTGGACGGCTCCTTGTCTTCCGACCTCGCAGTTCCCGTCGATTTTGCTTCCGTCTGTCGTGACGTTGCGATCCTGGATCCTTGTTCCGCTTTTATTGGGACATCTCCTTCCTCATACTTTACTTCAGTCACACTCGGGAGAGTCTGTTGGAGTTGAGCCGCTAAGGCACTGTCGCCAGATGCATCCTGGCTATGTACCGCGTCATCCTTGATTGCGTTACTGGATTGTGAGTACACTGTTGAACGGATACCTTGAACTTCTGTCGATGTTGCACGAATGTTTCTTGAACTCGTGCCGCGAACGTTCTTCGGGCTTCGAATAGCTTCCTGGTCCTGATTGCGCACCTCCTTCAAGGAGGTGATCTCCTCTTGCAGACGTTGCATCTGAGTGCTCATCCCGGATTCCCACTGATCATCCAGGCTCTTCTGGAGGTCGCTCAGGCCTTTTTTTGCCTTCTCGGCCTCCGCTTTGCGTCGCTGCCAGCGCTTTTCGAACTGGTTTTTCGCGGCCTTCAGCGCGCGGGCAACTTCGTACCTGGTAGCACTGGTCGGCATATCCTCGGAAGGTCCTGTCGGCGTATGAACTGAGGCAGTTAGCACCGAGACGTTCGGGACGGAAACACTCTTGACGACCCCAGGCCGAGCTGCCAGCATCTGGATCGCCTGGAAAAGCCTGGTCGATACGCTGGTTGAGCTGAGCCTGGGTGGTATCCTGCTTCGACTCCATCCGGGCCAACATGTCCTGCGTCGACCTTATTGCATTCAGAGCTAACTGAGACACCCCTGACGTCGCCGAGTAGCGCGACCTTCCTGAGCGGCTCGTCATCTTCGACTTATTCGACCGACTTGGTGACCGCCTTGATGAACGTCTTGAATGCCTCGAGTGTCGGTGTTTCCGAGCGTCGTTGCTGGACTCTGATTCACTCAGGGAATCGTCACTTGGGCTCGATCTTCGCCTGCAGATGTACTTCCGAGATGTCCTTGACATGTTACCACTCCGAATGCTGGCCCGCATTGACTCCGACATAACGACATCGTCAGGGTTGGCTAACAGTGGTGGCACCGGGAGGACAGCTTCGGTTACTTGGACACCCAGGCTACTTTCAGGTTGGGTGACACCTCCGTTGGCTGCAAAACACCATTCCGGCTGGAAGGGCATGCGCGAACTGCATGTGCTGCGCGGTACCTCCAGTCATAGACCACATCGAGGAAGCAGACGATGAAAGGTTCCCGAATGACCGGGATTCGAGCGTTCCAGAGAGGTTCAAATAATCCGAACCCGTTGCCGTGGTTTCAAACAGTGTTGACCCATAGCCCGAGCTTGGCATCGGCGACCCACTTCGGGTTGCCGACATGTCGCTCGGGGTAGCCATGCTCCGATCATCTTGGGTTGACGTCCGGTAAGCCATCAGCGAACTCATTGACGGAATGGATGACGGCCGTGGAGGGGCGTGTTGGTGGCGCTTCGATTCGTGTTCCCCAAGCGATGAAGTCGCAGGACTGCGATGCACTCGGACTCCGGCTTTCCTCAAGCGCGTAACACACTAACTTACCAGTAGCTCCGCCTCGTAACTCGACAGCAATTAATTACCTTCAGCATCTTCCGGTTTCATCTCTTCTGAATGATCATTCGGGTTGCGTGCATTCAAAGGAGACACAACTCGACATTGTACTCCCGAAATGGCTTGCCGCCACTCCAGGAGCGGTACAGTCAAGATGTGCTGCAACTCCTCAACCACCCTTCGCATCGTATCAACCTCAACTTTGGGAGTGTACACTCGAAACCATTCTGGCACCAGGTTGCGAAACTTGAATCCAACCTCGAAGATCGTTGTCTGCAAGACTGCAGCGCACTCTCGCATGGACAGCTCATTCAGGGGCACTGTCACCGACGTGAGGTCAGCAGACATGTTAGGCGCCAATCTGACGAGTCTCCATTGGGAGATCCAAGTTTGCGCTCGGGCTCCAGATGACATCTGCGACGCCAAATACTCCGATGCTGCCATGACAGTTCCGTACCAAGTCTGAAAATTCGGCGTGGGGTGAGGCCAGGCATACTCGATCATCGGAGAAGTTGTGACGAAGTGGGTGAACACTTGACCGCCCAAAGGTGTATAGCGTGCCCTGAACGGATTCGAACACGAAGTCGTTCAGGTAGTACAGGACTCGGGCTGAAAACTAGTTCTAGTCCGGGTTGGCGTGTGCCTTGCGTCAATCCCTATAGGTTTGATTTCGAAAACCAGGGATAACACCAGTGACTTCCAAATAGGATATACAGGTATATAAGAGAACTTCCGGGACCTCCTCGTCCTAGTCGTCCTGAGTGTTAGTTGAGAGATCACGGGTAAAGCCCTTCCTCCAAGAATTAACATAAAACAATACAAATGATCTAGGTGATAGACACAGAGGCTACAATACAAATATACATCCTGTCAGTTATTAGGCACAGTCGAATACAGGTAGATTTCGGGACGCCCTACGCGCACCACTCCTGCACTAAGACAGGAGAATCCATATAAGTACCTTCCGTTCACACAGCAACCGATAATATAGATCCAGGGTGACCACTAGAATCCTCCTAAATCGCAGGGTAATATGAATTGCAACTGGACACTTGAGGGTGTCCAGAGGCACCTTAACAAATGAAATAACTGGATCAGCCCAAGTGTCCAAGCGCCCGGTCCCCGACTTAACTTAGCTTGAACGAGGTTGAGAGTCTTCACGCGTCCCGCGTGGCCGTAGTCAGTCCTTGATGTGGTTAACCCGTGAGTCCGTGACCCCTTAGGTAGTCTTCCGCAGGGCTTCTCCGACGAGGTACTCTTAGTACCGCGGTTTCTGCGAACCACTTGCGCACTAGGTAGCAAAACAAACTCTCATTAAACTTTTAACTATCAATCATCTTCATCTTGGCATATTCTTCATGTTCTTCAGATTCTTGCAATGTCTTGGTCCTTCTGGGTTCGAATTCTTCGTTCGCCCTTGCTTCGTGGGCGCAAATCTTCTGTATGACTTGGTCTTTGCATACTTGGGTTGCCGCGTCAACAATCAGCCCGGATTTACACATCATGTGTTGACACATGGTCCACCTCGGATCTGCAGCATCCGCCGACCCTTCGCACCGGTCTCATCTCCTCTTCAATATTATCTTCAGGTAGTCTCACGTCGGTGCAATTCAATCTTTGTTGCACTGGTATATAGCGCGTCTTGTACCTTGGACCACCAGTCATCAGTTGAATCGTCCAGTGTGTCGTACGGGTTGTTTTTCCATTCAGGTTGTTTGTGATGTCTCCATTCAGGACACACTCCCTCAATTCAGGATGTCCAGCGGCTAGGGACTCCGGGGCTCGTTCATGTCCTCTCGGGCAATCCCTCAATCTCTACTGGTCCATTCAGAAAGTATCGGTCATCTTTTTCGGGTTCCTCCACGCTTCGCCTTCCTGGAATAACGGTGTATGGTCACTCGGTACGGGTGACCGAGGCTGGGATTTACGCTCACGGAACATTTCTCCGTTCACCACCCAAAATATGTTGTCATGTATCAGTTCCATATTCCCAGCACCGACTCTCAAACCTAGGTAGCTGCGCATGCTACCTGAATTTCAGGTTGCATCGTCACATGGAACTTTATCCTCCATTCTACGCAGTCCGTTCTGGAAGGCTTGACGGCTTGGGTGCCAACATGGAGGATACAGTGCCCTGAGCGTCCCATCCATGGACCAAATAGAATGGTGTATCCAGACGAGTTGCATCACAAGATATGTTCAGGACGAACATCAATCGTTCAGCATGGCCATCCCAATCCGACTAATCTGCCTCAGCAACATACGCCCTCACACGCCGGATGACAGTCTGAACTGAGCGTTCTTGTTGCCCATTGGCCTGTGGTCGGTAGCTCAGATTGGATCTTTGACGACTACCTAGAAGTTCCCTGAATCGAGTGAAGACCTCACTCAGGAACCTCGGGTCTTGATCGTGGCGGATCCATTCAAATGCACCAAACATCCTGAACACCCGCTCCTCGTACGCTTCTGGTACGTCCTGAGCTGCGGTGGAGGACAGTGTACCGGTTTGCACATCACGAATCCTTAGATCCCTGGAACAAGAGGAGGAAGGTATTTCCTCGCTCTGACTTCGGCATGTGCGTCACGAAATCCATCAAGACTACTTCAAATGGTCGCCTTGGTTCAATGTTTCCAGGAGATGGCACGGGGTTAGACGGATGCGTGGTGTAGTAAATCAATTGTGAACCAACGGTAAGATGGGCCACAAAAACAGGGAGGCCGCGTTGTGGTCAGTCTCTGTCAACGAAGACTGACTGCCAAGTTCGGTGGTTCTTATTGGTCGATAAACCAACGGTGACGAAGAATCAAGGAAAAGGGACCATGCCGAAGACCGAACCAAAGTAACGGGCTTATCAATAGGTCGAATCATCGGCATGTCCTAAATCCAACGACTAGACTCAACGGAACGTGAAACCACTCAAGATCCAAGACAAGAAAGAACTCGCGACTTGTCGGAGCAACGGGAGTTTTGAGGAGTTCCATAACGGACGCGTTTATATTAGATATTTGTATAGGACTATAGGAAAACATTAAGGATTAAATCAACCCATAAGGGAAAATATAACAGAACCGATTTTCCCACCAACCTCAAAAGTCAAATCCGATCACTCAGCGGTGTGTTGTGTCGTACTTGGTAGGTAGGACTATGCCTGTCGGTGTGCACGCGAACTAGCATTCTGTGTTGTACGCCTGTGGCAAAGCCAAGCGATTAGGCATTGGGTATTGGGTATTAGGGCGAGTCGTCGCCATTGAGATCCTGCCGTACATTGGGAGACGGATCGACAGTTTACGAGCCTTCGCCATACATTGGTAGGCAAGGCTTCGTCATTCTAATTAATCCGGCGCGGGATTAACCCCGGCACCCACGTATAGAGCCGTATAAGGCCAGTACCCTTCCGCTGTTGGGGCTACGTGGTATATTGAGTGTGTGTGGGCATCCTAGTCTTTTCTGTGACTAGGATTGCTGAGGTTTCAGTGGTTGACCTGAGGGAACCACAGTACACAGAAACCCAGACCAACCCGGTGCGAGGGATCATACTAAGACCTTCGGGTTCTTGTGTTGACCCCAAATAAGCCTCCTAAGTCTTCGTGATGTGTGGGTGTTGTTTGAGGGAGGTGTACCTATATTTTGGTCGTATTCCGATACGACAACTGGTGCCACGACCCGGGATTGGTGGTGACCTTCTGTGTGTTGTGCTACGGCAGGTCTATTAACTTTTCGGGCAACAACCAAGAGAAGACGTGAAGAAAACAAGAAAAAACAAGAAACAAGAAACAATGGCTAAACGATCGCATTCAGTGGTACCAGAAATCTCTGTGAAGACTGGCGGGACGGACGACTACGACACGGAAATGCTGGTGAAAACACCTGGCACTGACGAGACCACGGGACGCTCGGTCAGCTTCGAGGAGGACGCGAACGAATCCGGTGAAGTCATGGAAGAGGATTAAGACCTCGAAGAAAAGGAGGATATTCCAGAAGACGCGATTCTGGCGGCGGGGCGAAGCAGCGGTACGAGACCCCCGGCCCGGAATCTTATGAAAGATGTCATGTT